GAGCCGAGCCGGGCCGGGCCGGGCCGAACGGAGCCGGACCGGGCCGAGCCGCGCATCGGGGGCAGGGCCCGCGTGTCCCGCCGGCCCCGCCCTCGCCGCTCTCCCAGGGCCGGACCCGGGACAGAGAAGCGGCGGCCCCGCCCCACGAAAGAAGCGGCGGGTGCTGCTCGGGGCCGGTCGCCGCACTGGGCCCACCGGCTCAAGGACAAAGCTTTAAAACCTGGTTACGTTGTAGCTGCACAGTTCACCGTCATCTGCCCAGAGCTGCTGCGGAACAGAGGGGGAGTAGCAAAAAATCGTTGGCTTCCCCCAGCACCCCAAGGTACCCTGCCAGCAACAGAGGCTCCCACAGTAGTGGCCCTGTCTGAAAACATCAAGCTTTGCTTTTCCCTTACCTGCGGGTCTGCAGCGGGCTACTGCCACAGGTTCTCTTCCTTATGACTAGGGAACAGCTTCCCAGCTTCCTTGCTTTTATCTTAGTCCAGAACCAAAACCATCCCCATCTTACCCACTTTCAACAGCCTTTTAGCTCCAGGACAGGCTGGCAGGGTCTTCAGGAGAGTAACGCTGCAGAAGGTCCCACCCCCGCCCCATGAGCCAAACATCCAGTTTGCCACTGTCCAGTGTTAATGGCAAAATGCAAAAGTTTTTTATTAAGCAGAGAAAAACCCAATACAAAAAATCATGAACACAAAGCAATCAGTCCACACAAAAACTTTCGTTTTCCAGGTGTCTTTTAAAATGTGTACTCTAAGGTATGTTCCCACCCCAGATTCACAGGAACAAGTCCCTCAAGGCTCAATACTACTGGTCTGACAACAGCTCCTGCTTTCCCCAGTTCAGACTCTCACAATCCTTCCCTTTCTCCAGGTCATGCAAGGACTTGTGCTGTCAGGAGAGGAACCACCTTCTCCCCTTCGTGCTCTGAGAAGCAACTCCCTAGTGTCACACCAGAAGCATTGCTCCTCTCCAGGTTAAGGCCACAGCACAGTTCTAGGAGGCTGAGAACCCAGATGAACAGTTTTGCCATTTGCCATAGTGAAACTAAAATCCTGTAGCAATGCTGGCCACAACATCCTCAGCTAAGGGCCGTAGTTCACAGTGAAGAAGCCCAGATGTTGACAGCCAATCACTCACTCACCCATTCCCTGCCACTCTTTGTAGAAGTAGAACCACTGCCAAAGCCCGGCTGTCCCGTAAGGACAGCACTGCACCCGAAGCCCCCCGGTACAGATGTTTCTGCCGATGCTGAATGTGTATCTACTGCCCACCAATACAGCCAGAGCCACAGCAGGGATGGTAAAAAGACAGAGAGGGCCCCGTCAGACTGCTTCTGTCTGTAAGGACTGGGTGAAAAAGCACAGGTTGGTAATGTCTGGTGTTTCCAGCAGTTTCAGGATCCCATTAGCAAGGCAAATTACTCCAGCCCACAGGGAACTGTAAACACTCCTGTTGCTTTTTCTCACGTTTCTCTGTGAACAGCCCTGGCATCCGAACAAATGCTGCAGCAGGGCCCTGCTGGGGAACGCACAAACCCCCCCAGTAACCAGTAATCCCCTTTGCCAATAGGCTGTGGCAGTGCGGGGAGGGGGCTCCACATCATGGACTCAGACCCACAAGCCTGAATGGTTGTTTCCTCCTCGCCTTTACACTGTCAGGAGGAAGATTTCTGAACAGCAAGAGCATTTGTCTGTTTGCTAGCCTTTGTGTCACCCCACAAATTTGATAAAATTGTCCCATTTAGGAAGAAGGAGTTGTACCTGAGTTCCTCACCCTTTCCCTGACAGCAGGTACTTGGATCCTTTAAGCTCTCATTTCCTAGAACCAGGGGTTCCCAAGGGAGATCCCTGCACATATGCCATGATGGCATTCTGCAAAAAACTTGCTCGCTGGGCCTCCTCTTCCCTCACCCTGGAGATCTCAGCCTCCTTCATTCTCAGCTTCTCCAGCAGCAGAGAGATCTCACCCTCCTTGTCCAGCAGTGCTTCACGGTGATTACTGGATAGGGCTGTGAAAAAGCAGCATTAGTAAAGACAATCACGGTATCCCTAGAAAAAATAAGAACAGGCCAAAGGCAATGGAAGTCGTATGGTCAACAAGCACACAAGAGGAGCTGCATGAGACAACACAAGAGGTTTTGCACAGACAGCATGCACAGTTCACTGTGCAGGAAATCCAAACATTTTATTTGCTGTGCAGCTCTGGGTGGTCATCTGAGTCTTGGTCTCTATAAAATGAGGACAGGAATCCCTGTAAATACACGTGGATGGAGAGTACAACTCATAGGTGTACATGCAGGCAGGAAGCACTTGCTGTCACTACCTGAGAGCACAGCTCAGTTCCAGGCCCAGTGCAGGGTAACTCAGCGTTGCCATTTGAGAAGCATAAAAGGATCCATCACCTTTCAGCTGCCTTTCCAGAGCTGCAATCTTCTCTCTCAGCCCATCCTGGGCTGTGCGTTCAGCCTCCAGGTGCCCAATCTTCTCCTGTAACTCCACTTTCACCTTATTTACCTCTGTCACTTTCTCCTCTTCCTTACTGTCCAGGTCCTGACACACAAAGACAAATCCATGAACAACCAAACAACTTCAGCATCTTGTTCTGCCCCTGTGGTGACTATCTCTACTCCAGTCCAAACTACCTGCTGAAGTTCATCCAGCCTCCTCCTGAGTCCATCAGCATACAGGCTCAACTGTTTGGCTTTGGCCTGGGCCTCAGCAACCATCTCTTTTTGCTTAAGGCAGCAGTTCTGAGCTTCATCCCTTGACTCAGTCATCAGCCGCAGCTTCTCTTCCAGGTGTTCTAGTCGTTGCTGCTGTAAGACACAGGAAAATGAAAATTAAATAGTCCCACTTCATTCCTGTGTAGAGATTCTCCCCTCTTTGCTCCTAATACAGTCAACCCTTTATCGAGTCAACTGGCACTGACAAGCACAGGACACAGCTGTACTCCTTGCACTCAGGAGTGACTCCAAGCTGCTTCCTCTTGCCAGGGAGGAGACTGACAGAGACCGAGAAACAGAGACAGGTCCTTGGCAGATGCACAATGCCACTGCCAGTGTTTACAACTAATGCTCTACCTTCATTTCCTCCATACCTCAAATGGCTCTGAAGCACCACTGCATGCAGCTAAGCAACTGCTGGGCCCCACACGTCAGATTTCTATGTCTGTAACTCAGTGAAGCATTTTCTTTTGTCATGTTACAAATAAGTAAATATTTTAATAGTTTTTGTGTATTTTTCTCATCCCTTGTTCTCTTACACAGGATATTAACTTCGTTGCCATTTACACTGAGTTCAATACTACACTGAATTTATTTATCTAGCAGCAGTAGCCACCTGAAGAAATTTCTGAGTTCAGAGAAACAGGAGTACCCCATGAAAGTTGCCACTAAAAAGAAGGATCAACATGTGGCTTCAGATGTTGGCAACTTAAATTAAATCTGCCATGACAATACTCACATCAGTTCTGCTACTACTGAAGAAAATTCAAGACTTTTTGGGGCTCCTTCCTTAGCAATCACATCATTTGTGGGTCAGTGAAACCCAGAGAGGAATTACTTAGCAGCTCCCCAAGACTAAAAACATAGACTAGGTAGCCAAACCACTTCCTTCCCGCAGGGGCAGGAAGGAACAGACAGGTCCTGTCCTTACCTCCTCCAAGCGTGCCTGACTCCGGACTTTTATTAACTCCTCCTCTGCCTGTCCTCGCTCAGTTAGAGCAGCTGCTTTGACTTGACTCAGCTCCTGCCACAGAAACATGGAAAATCATTCCAGACAGAGAAGCTGCATTGCTGCAGCACTGACCAGAAAACACTAGCAGTTCCTAGTCACAGGCTGTAATATGACACAGCTCTCCTCACTCAGGGGCAGCAAAAGCAAACAAAGATGACAAACCTTTCCTCACTTCAAGACTGCTATCTAAATTCGATGTGAACTTTGGTTATATGAGGGTAAGTATTGGTTAAAGCTTTCCAAAATAAGGCAATAGGAAAGAGCAGCGCTGGATGTAGCTGGGGACATGGATAAACATGCTACACTACTTGGGACAACGTCAGAAACCTGTGACGTCAAATCTTAGGAAGACTCTAACCAGGTTCAATGGAATCCTTATTTTTGTCCAATCTGAATTTACAAGTTTCTCCTTGGAACCTTCTTCCTTAGTCCAAAGCAGTAAAAATAATTTTAGCTGGTTTCTGTTCCTCCTTACAGCACATGACAATCTTTACAAAGATCTGCAGTGGGAGAATCCACAAAGCTTTCCTGGCAGCCTTCTCTGTGCACCGCTGTATGAGTGATCAAAAGTGCCTAGAGCACTTTCTCTCACCTCCTCCAGAGATATCCTGATGGCCTCCAGCCTCTGGATCCTGTTGTGCATGGAACGTTCACTGGCCTCCATGTGCTGTGCCATGCGATCCATCTGCAGAGCAGGAGAAACCATTTAAACAAGTGACAGAAAACCACTCCTATCTCCAAGCACAGCAAGCAGCAGGACTACTCATCACAATAGTGATGCATCCTCTCACTGACCCACCTACCAGCAAAGAAAAATTCTTACCTCCCCCGGAACTTCAGTAGGAAACTGTAATACAGATCGAATCTGCTCTCTAGAAATTGGGAATTTTTAGACAGAGATCCTTCCCAGGCCACAAGGAAGATAGAGTCCAAGCTCTCGTTGTCAAGTGGTACAAAGCACAATAGATTCATTTTCTAGCTGTAATGTTGCTAAAATCTTCCTGGCATGTGTCTTAAAGGATTTCAGTATCTTCAGAGAAATCTGTTAGTATAATTTTATTTTGGAGAGATTTCAAACCTCAGTAA